CATTTAAATGCGGTCATTCCCATGTGTTTGTTGTTGTATAAAAGTGTGTTAACTCACTTTTCAAAGTGAGTTAACTCACTTTCGGCAATTTAACAGAAAATGTTATGTTAACATTCGATGCTGTCACTAATAATGTAATCATTTCGGAAGTTTCGGTATACTTCTTGCCAGAGTCGTGTATTTTCGGATTTAATGAGGGGCGAGATTTTTATTTTGCATGGTGAAATTTTTTGTATAAAAATTCCTTTTTTGCATTAGTTTTAACATAAATGCCTATATTAAGTAATTGGCGAAGATAATGCTTCTCCGCCTTCAAAAAAAACTATAAGAAACAAACAAAAAACAATTGTGAAATATCAAACGATCCCCTCAACATAAAAATATACGTGGCTCTGGTAACTATCAGCTGATTGCGCAAAATAAATAATTTGAGGGAACAAACAAACAAATATGAAAATGGAAACATGCATAAAAACATATTCATTTCAGCAACGTTTGTTCGTGCAGAAATAATCTGCGACTTGCAAGTGCAGAAATAGCCAAATAAAATGAGTGCGGTCTCTTGAATTCATGATTTCTATAGTTGTGGCAAATTTTGTAAACTGCAAATGTTAACAAAAATCAGCTGTTTGAGTTAACTCACTTTCGGTGGAAACGTTTGACATTTCATTTACTTAACAGAGGCCTTAAATGCATTTAAGCTCCGGTGGAAATAGGCTATAAAATATATGATATGTAATAATAACGATTAAATAAAAAAGACTAATCTTCCTACTTTTTTCCCATTTTGGCTATAAATTAACTACCGTTTTGCAAAGCGGAATATATTTTATTCCTCTTTTTACTACTTTCGTAAATGCACCCGTCTGTATGGAAGTGTCAAAACTCCCTGGTTATTACTTATCCAACTTTTAATTATTGAATCATGCTTTTGAGCAAGGTAGTTTCACTCAAAATTTTTTTCAAAAATATTAACCATCTGATAAAAGGATTTTTTGACTTTTGCTTTATTTTTGTGCTACCGATTTAATTTTTTGAAATAAATTTTAAATTTTCTAAAATTAGAAATATTCTTAAAAAAACAGTGTAAACAAAATATAAAGAAAAATAAAACAAACTCACAAAAAATTCAAAGGCTTTCTTTTGTATTTTCTGAAATCGAATGGTAATAAAATCATTTTCGGGCGGCTTAGCATTTTTTTTTATAAAAAAAAAAATATTTAAATATTTTTAAAGTGGGAATATCTTAATATTATAATGATAATACGTTAAAATGTCAAAATATATTTTTCTGTCAATTTTAAATTGGGTGAAAAACTGCCTTCCTTTTTTGTATCATGATTTGAGCACTGCTCGATACTCGGATATTTAGATCTCTATTATAAATATATGTAATAAGTAAGCGTATCGAGGTTTTGTCTTAAGTTAAAATAATCGCATATGAAGAGCTCTACCGTTATATATACGAGTACAAAGAATCAGTTATTCAGTATTTTCCTGTAATTTCTCGTTTACAATATTTTATTATTATATGCTTTGTTTGCTTTTGATTTATTGCGCAATGACTTGTGACAATTTCAATGCGTACATACATTTTCCAGTACATATTTTGTACAATATATACTGACAATTGTAGAATGGTAAATATTTTGACATATTTTCATATGCAAGTTCTTTAATTGACACAATCACATTGACGTACATACATACATACAGATGGCACAATATAACGCAAAGCAGTACATTAGAATATGACAATCCCGGCAATCATAGCAGAATTCATTCTCTCCCTTTCAAGTCACTTTCATAATAACTAAACACTCCGGCAAGAAGCTTTGAGGAGTCGCCAAGCAACTGGGGGAAAAGTGAGTAATACAGCGAACGCAATTAAACGTACATAATATTTAGAAGCCAAGTATTCTTGCTAAGATTTTTATCATACCATCAAAGTGATGGAAGAGAACTGAGAGTGTACTGATAAAAGTTGCCAGATTGTTCCTATTCAGGTGGTTTTGCCTATAATCCTTCAAGGAAATACGATGATTTTCTGTTTTAGTTTTGGGCATGTAATATATGTATGAATATGTGCGGAGATGTAGAAAAAAATGCTTTAAAAAAGTCTGTGTTATTTTGCAATTCCACAATTAATTCTTTAAAAACTTTTGTGTCAATTTACACAAATACTAAATGTAGCTTTTAAATCAGTTTTCTTCTTTGTTTTTTTTTTTCTAAAGCACATATTTTTTAAAAGCGCGCAATATTAAATAATTTTAAATAATTTGTATAATAAATTCATGTTGTTATAACCGCAAAAACACTCCTGGGTCAGATAATCAACCGGTATGTTCCGGTATAAAATGCCTCTTTGTTAGCGGGTAAATTCTTAGACTCAAATGCATAGAGGTATTTCTATCTTTTCGTTTTGGCTGGTACGTTAAAAACTGACGCTTGACCCCACACTTTTTCATGTAAGTGTACTGAATTTTAGTAGGTTTTAAAAATTGGTGTCTAAAAAAATAAATTTCATTATGCTTTAGTACATAGTGTAAGCTATTTTTCTACATGGTCGCCATTCTTCTCTTCCTCAGAATAGTTTCGGCCACTTCTCCTCCTACCTCCTACTTTTCCTGCTCATCGGTTGACAACCTTTTTCCACCCATGTGCAGCTTCAGGAGGGTAAAGAGATCGTATAATCTGAAGGTGATAGATCAGGAGAATGTACAGGATTGTTCAGGACATCCATTTAAGCGAGCAGCTCCTTCGTAGCGTTAGTGTTGCTTAAGTTCAGTTTACATAGCCCTATAAGTTTTGCCGGAATACCAAATTCCGACATAGCAGCAAAACTCAATTTCATTACCATAAGATAAATTTGTTCATTCAGATTGTGTAGTTTTAGCCTCCGTACTCCCTTTTGCGTAATTCGCAGTAATTTTCTATGGAGGTATCGTTGGAACAATCCTGTTTGATTTCAGGGACTCTACCCAAAGTCTTGTTATATCTTCTGTATTTCCAAAGAAAGGATCGGGCAACATAAAAAATACAGTGTACTAATGCCGTGATCCCATTGTAAATACTTTCATTAAGGGGAGACTCTACACAAGAACCGAAACTTTTTGGCACTGCTTTTCTGAAGCATTCGAACACTGTAAACGCAGAATTCATAATGCAGATCCTTTCTTGTTCTTTAGTATTTTTTTGCGATAGGAAATACCAGTTCCGTTGCAGAACAAAATGATCATACGTGTTAAACGATCTGCTATACTTTACACTAACGAGATGTGAAGAGTTAACGAGTTGGAAACGGAGACTTTAGAATGTTGCTTTTTCTCTTGTCTCTCCTATTGATTGAATTATGTGACGAACGGAATAAAAAATAAGGGTTTCCTTCATGGAAAACATACCTCGTTGACATATTTTAGGACTTCCGGGACCACTCCCTCCCTTCATGTAACCCAAAGTAGCCCTTTCACATTCCAACTTCTCTTGGCCGAACAACGCGGTTTCTGATATAATAGCTTCCCAGTGGTAATAAATGATAATTACCCACCTAAGCATCAGATTTATACAAGTTGAATACTAGATCATTCACAAATGTTGAATTTCTCTTACTTAGAATTAGGATTATCTTGGTTTGTACTATGATGTAGAGATGGTGATTATAAAATTAGTCTAAAATTTCTGGATATCAGGCTGACAAGAAATCAGTAATTAGCTTACAATATAGAGCCTTCTTCATGAGTGGTATTATATCACCATACCGAGAATTGTTAAAATATTAGCTTAGCACCGCATTGCCACAACAATTTTCAACTACTTTTAGCAGCAATTAGGCGTCAAATGTCTCAGACTTATCTACTGAGGCAAACGACTTTACATAACTTCACAAAAACAATCCAGCGGTATTGCAGGTCACGCCGCAAACTAAATCAGACTCGAGATAATCCGCTCACCAAAAGGTTCCCTCAGTAAATTTATTGTTTCCTTGGATGTATGGCATGTAGCGCTGTCTTGTTGGAACCAAAAGTCTTCCACATCAATATAGTCCAATTCAAGCAGGAAAAGGTCATTCATGAATGAAGGCTTTATAGCGTTCCTAACTGGAATATGAAGATGATTTTCACTGTCCATAGTGACTTTTTGAGGATGTAATAGCATCTCCATAATGGCTTGCGGGGCTATCATCAGTCCAAAAAACGACCATTTTATTTATTAAAGCACTCATTAAAATAAAAGCGAGTTTCACCAATCAATATTTTGAGAAAATCGACGAACAGTCGACGAACGTGCGCCGCGCTTGATGACTTGAGTTGGATTTTGTAAGCCAACAAACCAAAATCTTTCCGTAAGGTCTTTCAGAATGGATGCAGCTGCAATTATCCGCTGCAATTGTCCGATCCGCAGTTGCATGAATAATCGAGTTTGCTGGGAGAAAGATCGGATTTCTTTAAGAAATTATAAATTTTCGTTATATTTCCAGCTGATGGTATTCTTAATAATTGTACCGGATCCTCGTTGTTGACGTGGTTTGTTCTTGAGTGCGAGATTATTTTGACCGAATATTGGATGCGAACCATTATTTTGAAAGTTGAAAACATTATTCCAGGGTAAAGCTGTTCATTGGAATGACAAATCAAACTGATTATAAATCAAATTGATAAATTCCGAAAAATGTATTCCCTCATTGAAAACCACACGTTTAAAAAACACCCTTTATATAAAGGACGATATTTGCCAACGCGAACCATTCGCTACTCCTTCAAGAGATTAAACAATTCAGTTGCAAGCACCTTAATTATAGCACTTAATACGTTCTCCGTGTGCCTTATCCTAGGCTAATGATTTTCCTTGTTGGAATTTCTGCTTTTATACTGTTTTCCACAAATTTTATTTGTTGCCATTGCCATTGCCAAATTTGTTCTTTGAAATTTTCTTAATATTTTGAAAATCAAAAATTTTCTCTATAAAAGTAAAACAAATATTAAATTCGTTATTCTTTTCAGTATTTCTAAACAAAACAACCGTATACAACAAAGAGAGACTGTTAAATGTGATAGCAAAACGTCCAGCCGGTGTGCCCTTGGTCACAGTTTCAAATCATCACTCATGCTTCGATGATCCCGGTCTATGGGGTAAGCTACCACATCGTTTGATACTCATTGTTGATTGAAAAAACACGATTTAATTGAATTTCATATATTTTTATTATATTAATTTTTTTTTTTTTTGTATAGGTGTACTGCCCGTAAAATATGTGTGCAATACATTTAGAATACGTTGGTCGATGGCGGCACACGACATCTGCTTCACCAACACACTGCACTCAACGTTCTTCATGTATGGTGAGTAATTGGAAATTAAAGAAATTCATTTTTTCATTTATTTATTTCATTTTTTTCATCTACAACTTGCAGGCAAATGCATTCCAGTGGTACGTGGCAGCGGTGTCTATCAGCACGCCATCGATTTGTGCATACAAAAATGTGCGCTCGGTCATTGGGTGCATGTCTTTCCTGAGGGCAAGGTGAACATGACAAAGGAGGAGATGCGTCTCAAGTGGGGTGTGGGTCGTATCATATACGAATCGCCACGCATTCCGATTATACTGCCAATGTGGCATGAAGGCATGGACGAAGTGCTGCCCAACATCGAGCCATATATACTGAATTGGGGTAAAAAGGTCACTCTGAATATTGGCCAACCCATAGACTTGCATGATTTTATACAGGATCTCAAAGATCGTAAAGTGCCTGAGCCGGAGGCAAGAAAATTAATAACGGATAAAATACAAGACGTTTTTCATGTGAGTTGCATTTTTACGCACTGTATGAGATTATTTTTTAAATTTCTAATAAAGGGTTTTGCATTAAGAGGTGTTACTTTGACTAGGCTGCTATTCCGGTAGAAATCGCTCTTGAAGCTGTAATTTTTTGAGATTTGACAAGTAAAAACTACGCTCAATAATAAAAATGGATTAAAATGATTAAAATTCACTATAAAAATCGTGAAAACCTGTCAGCGGCGGTTAGTAATTTCGTAAGATCAAAACATTTTTCGATGGTCGTGAAGCATCTTGTCGGACTGCAAGGCAAAAATTAAAAATATGGAGTTGGTGAGACAACTTAGTGAACTGTGAAGAATTACACACTTGCACGCAGCTTAAGATCAACTGAGAATAATGCTGCTGTAGCCCTAAGTGTTGAAGAAAACCCCGATATCTTCATTCTTCGTCGTTCTTCGGAATCCACAGATGCAATTTTGCATAAAGCTTTGAGTTCAATTCTTATAAAGTTCAGTTAACAAAAGAGCTCAAGCCGGTCGATCAACAACTACGTCGTGTCTTTGCTGATCGAGTCCTTGAATTGTATGAAAATTATTCGAAATTACACCGAAAAATCATCTTGAGTAGTGAGGCCCATTTCAACCTCGATGGCTACGTCAATAAGCAAAACTGTCGCATCTGGGGCTCGGTTTATTATCCGGCGGCGTCATTGAAACTTACTTTTTCGAAAATTTTGGTGGAACTACAGTTTCGTTGAATCGATTGCGCTATCAAGAGATGATTAATGATTATTTTATAACCGGAATTGGGTGGTAATAATTTAGACAACGTTTACTTTCAACAAGACGCTGCTAAGTTCTGGACTGTGTTATCATTTAAAGGGGTGATCGCAATTGCCCACCGAGGTCTTGTGATTTAACAACTCGCGTGAAAGATGAGGTCTACGCCAACCGACCGACGCCGATTCTAGATCTCAAAAATGGAATTTGTGAAGCAATTGAGGGCACACAGTAGCCACTTTGTGATTTGTTGATGGAAAATTTCATAAAAAGGATACGGTTCTGCAAGCATAACCGTGACTGCCATTTGTCTGATATTGTTTTCCATTATTAATGGTTATTTTACACTTTACATTGAAATAAACATCCGATCATTTATCACAAAAATATAAATACAACACCTCTTAATGGAAACCCCTGTATATATTTAATTTCAATTATTTATTTGTAATAATTAATTTTTTAATTACAGCATTTGCGTAAAGAAACCGAAGAACTGCATAAGAAACGGCTATAGTAATTAAGTAAATGTCTTTTATAAGTATTTTATTCATATTTTACTCAACGATACTGAGTATCTAGAATTTATGAGAAAATAAATATTTATAAACATATATACATACATCATCATATGCTTTTAATTGTGAATGATAAACGTAAATAAGTGCGAAATGAGTGGCGTAAATGTAAACGACTTTTAGTTTATTAAAAAAAAAGTGCAATGGTATTCTATAGAACAATCAATATGTATGTAAATCTGTAAAGATAAATCAAAATGTTTGACCGAAAATTTCAATTTATTTATTATTGAAAAAGAAAACGTATTAAAACAAAGATGCTAAGCACCTTTTAATATAAAATCTAAAATAAAGCAAAATTTTAAATAATAAATGAAATAATATTTATATACGCGCTAATGTTTGTAAAATTTAAGTATTACTCGTGTATTTTTTTGTTTAAAATTTCATTTTAGAAAAATAAAAAAATTAATAAAAATAAAATATATATAAATACGTTATCTATGCCATTAATATTTAAAGAATATTTAAATTTGTAGGTTGTTTTGGATTAAACAGTATAAACAGTATATGCTTGATAACACGTACATAGCATACGCTTAAAAAAAAAAAAATATAAATAAAAATATGATAAAAATGGTTGAAATTATTATTTATTAATTATGTACATGTATGCATAGAAATACATACAAAAAATTACATTAAAATAATATATATCTATATTTGTATGCATTGTGAATATATAATATACGAACGGTTATGTATCACGAAAAATAAATTATTGCGCTGAGTAATTAATAAGAACACAAGACAAATAAATAAAATAAACAAGAAGAAAAAATGTATTTTTCTAATATTTCTAATTATGCCGTTTTTTATTGTACATCTCTTTTAAACATAAAATTAAAAATAGTAAAATATATAGTCCTTGGGGTTTTGAACTCTGAAATTTATGGCATATTTTTCTCCTCGTGGAAATTATTTTTGCAGTAAATTTACTGCAAAATTTGGATGATTTCTGGGAGATTAAAATCCTCGAAGTATATGGGTAAAGAGAATTAGTCAAATTATTTGTAGAGAGTTGCTTTTGTGTTTGTGGAAACCGAAAAAATATTCCCCAATTGGAATATTGCGAGAATGACACTCCTTTGTCCTGATATAAATCGTAGGTTCCGGTATAAAAATCGACAGTCGCGGGAACTATTGGATTTCAATCACCTCTTGCGACATGTTTGCCTTACCACGGGTAAATTTTTGAGCTCCCAACCCGCCGGGCTCGCGATGAAGAGTTGTGAATTGTATTCGCTAAGGCCACAGTAAGACTTGGATCACGAACTCAAAAGGGAAACGGGATTAAATATCCAATTCTTGTGAAAAATGCTCTTTTGTGGTCACACCTTTTTTTCAATGAAAACCAAGCCAGCTCTAGCCAATCCACCAGAAACCTGCCTCCTAAACTGAATAGCTGTAGATTCGCTTATCAGCTGCTATAAACTGGATTAAAGATGAGAAAATATTGCTGGATGCAGAAAAGCGAGTCAGAAGAATCCATATACTACCAGAAAGAAGACTAAATCGTTGAGAAAGGATTCTTTCCATAATGAAAGTAATACATTTAGCTTGATTGAATAATTTAATATGCTTTTTAATAGTCAAAAACCTCAGTTCAGCAATGAAACAACAACAATACAAGCTGAACTTGAACACAAAATCGTAATAATTAGAGATTTGCAACCGTTCAAACGATATTTGTCCTTTTTCAATTTGTGATGTTAGTCTTTAGGTTTTCCAACAAGATGATCTACAGTTTATTCCAAGCCGCCTCCGATTAGTCGCTGGATTTCGGAGAAGTTTTGATTTCCTTATCAAAAATACGCTTGACAATTCCTGCTTAGAAATATAAATTTTTTTAAGCTTGATTGTTTGGACAGACTAACAACTGAACCCTCACCTCTCGAATGTTAGCACGCAATGCTAACCATTAGGCTATTGCAGCCGAGTTAGTAGTGAATATTCCATTTCTGATTAATAAGTTGTTTAAATGTGTTCTTGCGGAAAATTCCTCCTTTATCCCATGATATTCCTTATAACAGCAAAAGTAATATAGTCAGCTGATTGTCAGGGTTGAATGTGAGTCAAATTAAATTTTGTTTTTTGTTTTCTTATTTGTCGCTCACATTTTATTTTATTTTTTTTATTGGTTTTTTCATTTAATATACTTTTTTATTTTTGATTTTATTTTCTTTGCTTTGAATTGATTTATTTTCATTTTATTTTATTATACTTTATTTAACTTAATTAAGTTTTATTTTATTTAAATATATTTTCGTACTTTTTCCATTTTAATTCACTAGTTTTTTATTTTACCACACAACAAAGTATATGTTTCATTTTTATTTATATAATTTTATTTTTATTTTATCCTACATTATTTTATTTTCTTAAATTTAATATATTTTAATTTATTTTAATTTAATTTATTTTGTATTTTATTTTATTTTAACTACGTTATCTTTTTATTTTGTTTAATTTAATTTATTTTAAATTCTTTTTTATTTATTTTTTTTATTGTAAATTTGATTATTTTATTTTAATTGCATTCTTTTATTTATTTCATATTAATTAAACTTATTTTTTATTTTATTTAGTTTAATTTAATTTATTGCTTTCTGTTTTATAATTTCATTTTATTTTATTTTGCTTAAATTAATTTATTTTTTTTTACTCTATTTTTATTTTATTTCATTTTTACTTTGCTTACTTATGTTGACGTTTTATTTTGTTTCATTTTAGTTAGTTTAATTTATTTTCTCTATTCCACCAAAAATACTGACGTCAAATTTACTTGTTTACGACATATTTCCGACATTGACAAGTAAACAGAGTTTTTGTTTTGATTATTGTCATACAAATAAATAAAATAAAATAAATAAATTTTCATTACGCAGAAACAACTAAATAATAACAAACAATATTCCGTTGACTCTGCGAAAACAGAAGAAGACGCAAAACAGAAAAGAGTACCAAAACTTCAGTGTGAAATAAATTTAAAAATGTAACTTAATTTAGAATAAGTATAAACTTTAATTTTCCAATCTGTGTTTTTTTTTTTCAAATAAAAAATCACATTTTCCGTAGGGCATTGTTACAATTGCCGCTGAATAATGAACACGCGATTGAGTTAAATACACCAAACCGCAACGAAATACTCAAGGACGGACTACCGAAGCACACCAAATATAAAATTTTGGGTAAAGGCGCATTTGGCACCGTCTTTAAGGCAATTTTTAGAGGTAACGAAGAAAAATAGTTGTTTTACTTATGGAAAATTATTTACAAACAAAATTTTCGAAGCTTCAGTATTTTTTCCACAATTGGAAGTGGATTTCAATCAAGAAAAAATTAAAAAAACTCTCTCGCAACGAACATTGAAATATGCTCTGCGTTGCCAACTTCTGTTAATTTGTAAATTACACTGCGTTTAGTATTTAAATATAAAAATTTGAAAGTTTTGTGATTCCGATTTTAATAATTTATATTATTATTAATTAATTTTTTAAAGGTCAACCGGTGGCTGTAAAGATCGTACGAAATGTCGGCAAGGCGAATGTCCAATCTATGACTAGTGAGACACAAATTTTGGGTTGGAATCATCGCAATATAATACGAATTCTTAAAGTAAAATATATATTTATATAAAACTGTAGCTGGAACATTTATTTGCAGCGTATTTTTAGGTGGAAACCACGCCAAATTTCGGCATTGTTATTATGGAGAGATTTGTGAGCCAGAACTTACAAGAGATAATTGATGCGAAAAAATTGCCACTGGAGCATAGAATTTTGTAAGTATTTCAATTATCTAATGAACCGATAGGCCACTAATAAGAGGAGAGAGTCCATAGTTCTGGGAAGATTATGAAATTGTGGTGAGCGAAGCACAGAACTTTGCATAGTAGGCATCACAAGATGTTATTTACATTCTAACTCGCACCGTCCAAAGCATTTTCCGAGGCTTTTGTCTCTTTTTCTTCCGAGGCTCTTATCTCTTTTCCACTCTGTTACACGAAGAGCTTCATATGTTTGCTTTTATAAGAATCGGCTTTCCTAGAGCCAAAGCTATAACGAACCATTGAACTGAATTTGTCGACGTGACTAAGGCTCTCCCCCTTTGGCCTTGCTCAAGAGTTGGGAGGTATAATGAATCTAACTCAAACTAGTCTATTAACTTATTTTAATGACTGTAACCCTCATCTTTCCATTTACTTTCCTCTTTAGCATTTCACTGGATATTCTATCGGCGCTTTCCCACTGCCACAAGCGGAATCTACTACATCTTGATGTAAAACCGCAAAATGTTCTGATAGCTTTCGCTGGCATTCAGCCAAAATTACAAAACGAAAATCTAACAACTCTCTACCATCGCCGGCAATATGTTTGCAAGCTCTGTGATTTCGGTGCCTCAATGAAGATTGACGCGCCAGAGACAACATCAAAAGGCAATGCGAGAGTAAATATTGAATTTGCTGCTAATCACCATTTAACAGTTAATAAATTCTCACATATAGGGCACCATTCGTTACATGGCACCAGAAGCATTGCGTGAAGAGCCACTTACCGCCGCCACCGACATATACTCTCTAGGCATTATAATGTGGCAAATGCGACAGCGTCGTTTACCCTATCATTGGATTGCCTGTAATGAAGTAGTCGCTTATCAAGTGGTTAAGAATAAGCTACGTCCCGATAGCGCCGCGGCTGCCAGGAATTTGAAAAACACCCCCCACGGTTGCACGAGTGCGTTGCATGCGACCATGCAACGGCATCATACATGCCATTGCACCAACTCCACAGCAGAGGAGATCACCTATCACTCATTGATACATCTTACAAATGTGCTCAATCGCGCCAAACAACCCGAAGAGCAATTGCGTTTCTCCGATTGTGCAGTGGAGGAATCGAAACCGTTGTCGGAGCGTCGCCCTTTCGCCTCATTGAGTGCGAAAATGAATGTTACGCGTAATTTAAGCGCGGAATTGAGTAGTAGCAAGTCACCGGCTGCTCCGCGTTCACCATTGACGCCTAAAAATGCAATAACATTTCAACAGCAAACGCAACAAAAACGTTCGAAATGTGATGTCGCAGATGTTTTGGTGTTGTTTGAGGATATTTTGCGACTGCACGATCGAGACAAGGAGAACAAGTATGAAGCTCTTTTTAGAGCTTGTTGGTCGGATGGGCCACTTTCGCGGCCGTGCACAGCGAAGTTACGTAAAAGCTTAACCGAATTATTGTGATACTTGCTTGTTGCAAGAATTTTGTTTTTATTTATTTAATGCTATGTGTGGGTATATGATGTTAGTAAGTGACATCTTTTTATTATTTTAACATTTATTTAATTTTGCTATAATTTTAGTTTTTGTAAGTTTTTTACGAGCTCACAAAATAAATACTCGTACTTATTTTAAATATAAAGTTACAAAGAGGTCTAATTTAATGCAATTGACAGGATATCATGATTTCATTGAGGAGACAAGGAAGCGATGATATGTGGAGTTTATAGGACTTTCAGCAGGGAAAGTTAAGCATCCACGTGCATTTCTGACATGAAATAAAAGCTCTTCACAAAAATCCTTTGGATGTTCAAAGGCGTTTTAGTGTAAACTGTAGGTCCCTGAATTTGTTAGGAAAACATTGAGACACACATCACAAGCTGGTCGTAATGTTATATTAAGCGGATCACCAAACACTTCCGGTACTACCAACAACATTTCCGCATATACAGAAATTTTATTTCCTTACTTACCACAGACGGAAAGCTTATGAATCGCACATTTATCGCTTATACTATTTATATAGTGCATTTAAGCTTCCTCCAAGCTCATCAATATATAAAATTATCTTAATTTTATCATTAATAAACACCTGCGTAAATCTTTCTTCGCCACATTTGCCCTGGTAAATTTTTTTTCGTAGTTAATATTTTACACATTCTTTATCCTCATACAAAACTCCATTCACATTTTGCAAATCAATTATCTTGTATAGCACTTTATGGCATTTTAAACTATGTAAATTCCTTCATCTTTGCTTTTATTTATACAAATTTATTGTACTATTTTTAATATTTTCACACTCCCATCCGTAAACAAAATGCAACAATTTGTTGCGTTGCCAACTATTTCAACCGGTGTTGCATTCTTTATGTTCTACTAAAATCCTTTCCTTCTAGTTTGCGCTTAAAATTGCCCTTGGTTTTGATTTAAAAGTGGAATCAAAATATAGTTTTCAACTAAAAAAGCTGTACAACTTTATAAATAAATTATAATTATAAAATCTTTACATACGTACATACGAATATGGTAGGACATGTGAAGTTACTAGCAATGGGATAAATTTTAATGAAGAATGTTGAAGTGGCCGATGATTCTAAGATTTTTATAATATTTTACTTCAATCAATTTTCGCTAATATGAACATGATTTGTCCCCTTTTCACATTTTCGAGCGAAATTTAAATTTTTTTATAAAAAATTCGTTAAAATACTAGAAAATTGTATATCTGACAATACCATTAAGCAAACTATCTTACATTACTAATTCAAAATAATTTTTATTATGCAATTAACTATAATTATTAATAATAATAATGACCTTAGCTAATATATATATATATTATATATAACATTTCACACTGCTTATGTATTATTCATTACAGCTTTTAGCTTCTGACTTTGTAGGAAGGGATGGAACATATCAGCACTACTGAGAGGCATTTCCATAATCTACAACATGTACAAATAATTTTTTAAATTTTCGATTAAGCACTGCACAAAATAAATTTTCATTTGGAATTGTCTAGAAACTTCTGCCGCTTTTATTTGCGTTACCAACTTCTTATATGGTGCAGTTCCGTTTCCTTCAAATTTCCCCTTTAATTCCAGATCATTCTAGAGCATTGGCAATACTACAAAGGAAGTAGAATTTATTTCGGTTGCTGATATAAATATGTAGATATTTAATCTAATTGAGTGACAAGAATGTAAATTGGTGTGAATAAAATTGAATTAATGGTTACTTCATGAAAAGAAGTTGCTAATTTATTGTATAGATGCTTTGACGAGTTGGGAATTTGTATGTGGGAAGCCAGTATGAAAAAACTAGCTGACTTTGAAATCTTACACTGGATACTTTTTCCAAATGATTTTTAAGGCAAAATACAAATTTAAAGCCAACCTAAGGCTAAATACATTTGCATGCAACTCACAAGCTAACATTTGGTTGGTTGCCGATGTGCGCCTGGTTTAAGAAAATCAAACCATAGCATTAAACTCCATCAACCATTCTGAAGCGAGTTTAAACTGTCTGTAGTTACTCTACGCTGTAGTGTGCGTTTGTCTAAAATTCTTGAAAATTATTTTAAATTGCAAGTTAAAACTCCAAGTGAGCGAGCAACAGGCAGTGTACATAACCATAAAGAAATTTTATGCAAGTTAAGCCGTTTGTGTTGTGTTTACAGAAGATTCCGGCTAGGAAACAAACCCACACATAATGAACATTTCGTAACATAAAAAGCTACGGTGGGTAAGAAACAATTGATATAAATTTATTAAAAATTCGCAGTTTACATAAAGATCTCCTAAATGCATTTAAAATAAAACAACTTTAATATTTTAATATACTTTTATTGATTTCAATTTTTAATTTTCGTTTACCGTTTTTTTAGTTACCAGTGTATGCATGTATTTGTTTTCACTCATTTTTAAATGCTACTTTTACAATTTTTTAAATAAATATACCAAAATGTCAGTATTAAAAGAAAATATATGTAAATGCATCTAAATGCATATAAAGAATAGTATACAAGTATTGTAATTATTTATGTATAGTAATAGGTAAACTTTAGCAACTAACTACACTGAGAAAAACTATGCGTATAAGCTACAAATATAAATATATCGTTATGTACAAAATACGCATTATATCTAAGAACTTTAACCTCGCACTATCACACTAAAAAATATACAAATACGCAATATATGTATATATCATTTGTTTTATATAGTAATTTAATAGTTTTAATAACCAATACAAATTTTAGGTTGATAGTATAATAGGTAGTAAGTAGTCTATGTATATAATTATGTATAATTAATGTTTGTAATTAGGTTTAGTAATATTAGTAGTACTTTTTATTTTTCATTTTATATATCATTTTGTACTCACTACGCTACCAAGAGAAAGGAAGTTGATGGAAAAAAACTCTTGCATCGGATAGTAAGAATAAGCTTTATGTGGGTATGTATGTTATGTAGTATATAATTAAATTATTTATAACATTCTTGTACACATGTGTTTGTGTGTATATGTATGTATGTACGCCATTAATGTTAATTATTGGCCAAATTTCGGCATTTTGTTTACATTTTTATTATTTTTAGTACAGATTTGTAAATAACTATTTTTTATTGCATATATGTGAGTTTATGCTAATACTTATGCACTTTTCTTCGTTATTGTTTTCATTTGCAATTTTCATAAGTAGGAAATTTTTTCACCGAATTAATTGTTTGTTCGTTAAATGCGCGCAAAATGCAATGTTGAGGCAGGCGGCAGTGTTATTTAGTTAATTTATTTTTATTTTCCAAAATTATAGCACAGTTGATCTGCATTTAATTCTATTACATTTTTTAATATTTATGTTTTTTGTTTTGTGAAATTATTTGTTTGTAATGGTTGTGCCGCTAACATTTTGTTTTAATTATTTTTAGGAAACCGTTATAACAATATATTATTATGGGATTTTTTTTCTTATAAAACGTTACTTATTGTTTTTATAATTTATACGTATAAACATTCTTATTGTTTTGTCTGACTTGAGTTAATGTTGTATTATTTTTAATTTTCTTATTAGTTTTGAAAATTAAATCTGGAAATTTGGGTTCAGCTATTAATTACGAATTGCTAAATGTTTTATAAAAAAGTACAAGATTTACTTATTTTTTTTTATTAGGGCATCTATTGGATTTGTGTAAATTCTAATTTTATTTCTTTTTTTGTTTCATTTTTATTTTAATTTTTCCTTTATTATTTTTTATAAATATATTGTGCGGAAGACTACTTAACTTTAATAGTTTACATGTCGTGACATAAGTTTCAACTTTCTGTCATTTGTTCAGCTACTTTCTTTTCGGTTTTTGTTACTTTCTACGCATTTTTGTGATACGAAAAAATTATATTTCTATCTATATTAAAATAAATTATTTTATACAATTGTGGTATTGTATATAATTTATGTGCAGTGTGAATTAAACAGATTTATTTCAAATACAAAAATGTTACTTGGGAGGCAATGAAATTATTTATGATATTGAAAAGATTCGAAAATTTATTTTGTATTTGCCACGAGCCGGTATTGCTGTGGAATTTTCGCTTCAACCGTTGAATTTTATTTTAACCTTTCCGGTTTTTTTTATTGTGTTTTCAAGCTCACTATTTCTTCTATTGCATTTTTTGAAACCAAAAAAGTTGACTGTATTTGAAAACCAAAAAAGAGAATTATTATTTTCTTTGTTTTTTTTGTTAATAAACTACACAATTTACTTTAACTGTTTAAAATTATTAAGAATCCCTAATAAAGTCAGATTATATAGTTTATATGATTACTAAGGTAAACCAATATTTTTACAAAAAATTTAAGTCTTTAAATATTTATTTTTATTATTATTTTTTTTTAACATGAAATATACCAAAAACTCGTTAGATGTCATATGCCAAAGTGTTGCCATTAAAATGAAAATATAAATATTATTTATTTGGTTTTTGGAAAAACTATGTTTTAGTCAGTGTTTTGTTAAAAAAAATTTTCTTAAGGTTAAAAGCAAGATTTTTGAAAAATAATATCTCTGAACAACAAATTATTTTTTTTTTTAAATTATAAAATTGTAATTAAAGCAATATATGAGAAAAGTAAGACTACAAGAAAAGTTTTTCATTATTTTTGTGCAAAAATTTAATAAGTTTAAGAACCAATTGGGATTTATAATGAAACGTAGATTTAGTTAAAATAAAAAAATTTTTTTTTTTTGCTTTTATTATATTTTTTTTTTAAATAATTATATAAAATATTTTTTTTTTAGTTTCAGAATGTTTAGTTTCAGTTTGCGACAAAGGATTTCAATTTAAAATGAACAAAAATAATAAAAAATAATTTAAAATTTAGTTAAAGTGCACCGATTTGTAAAGAAAAATATTTTCTCTATTATTTATATTAATTATTTAAATTCTTTAGTTACAGAATTTTATTGTAAAATTAAAAAAATTATAGATAAAATAATATTTTCTTCGTTTATTTAAATTTTAAAGCAAATTTATTAATTTTCAAATAAAAATTTGACGTAATGGTGATCCAAAAGAAGTATTTTTGAAAGAAATTTAATTAAAAAATTAAAGGAAATTTTCAATAAAATTCAATAGCAAAATTTTTTAAATAAAAAAAAATAATTAAAACATTTTTTTCATGATCAGTAAATGAGCTTTAATTACAAATTATTAGATTTTTAATAAAAATGTGAAATCATAAAAACATACCTATGCGCACGTGGTTATGTATATGCACAAAAAACAAATTAAAAAAATTAATGTTGAAGACCAAAAACATAAATATTTACAATTACAAAAAAAAAAATATATATTTATTTTCAGTTTTAATAAAAGAAATCTGCGAACACTTTGACAACTGACACTAATTAGACCTTTAAATAAAAACAATTAAAAATCCAGTAATAATTTGTTTATATGTATTGTATGTATATTAGTTCACATACAAAACGCTTTATTTCATCATTATTAACTTATGTACATATGTACTCATATACATATATATATGTACATATACAACATTATTAAATAGTAATTTCGTATCGAAAATAACCAATGAGTCAAAGAGCCTGCCACTCAACTTACTATCAAATATTACCTTTATTAAAAAAGAAAAATCAAACGGTATCAACTGATAAGTATGTGAGTAGGCAGCATCTTGTTACAAACATAACTACATTGGCTTTCGCTATTCTGCAACCAAATGTGAGCACTCCCCGACGAGAGGAGGAGTGTGGTGAAAATAGTACGTAGAAATCACCAATATCAATTACAAATATAGTTTATATCATATATATGTAGATATACATATATAGAATCATATACGGTACACATGTATGTATGTATGAAGTTAGTTTTGTATAGTACAGACAATTTTAGGCAGTGTAAATTTACATTTTCTGATTTTCATATAATTTTTAGTGTCTAAAAGTAGTGGAAAAATTTTATTATAAGAAATATATTTTCTTTGCGCCCAAAAGTATGCGATCATTATTAATTTGTTAATTTTAATTTAGTTTCTAGTTTTTTTTTTATCTTTTTCGTAGAGTAGCCAGTTAGTTTCGCTTTTGGTGTTATTTTTTTAATTTTATTTTTTTTTTGTGTTAGTTCTACCGTTTTTATACAACAACATTTCGCCTGTTTTATTTATGATTTTTACAACTACATTTTGCGTACAATTACTTCGCTCAAATATCACATATAAGTCTTTTTTTTATAGAATTTTGCTTAAATTAATTAACTTTTGGGTTGGCTTTGCAACCTTAACGGTGTGTACATTGTTATATAACATACTCAACTTTTTCACTTGTTGATACTTAAATTTATGAAATTTACAATGTTTTTTGTTTTCGTTTTTGTTTGTTTTTTTTTCTTGCTTTTCTACTCTTAGCTCGCATAAGAACGTCGCACGGGAACTGGTGGAGGAATTTTTGATTTTCGTATTTGCTGTTGTTGCTGCTGCGATTGCGCCTCGCCAAATGACGTTGGTGTGCTTTGGTGTTGTTTTGGTGATGGCGGCGACTGTTGTTGTTGTTGTACGCTAGTTGGTATACGCGTTGGTGGTATTTTCGGCAAGCCATTAACGCAATTGCGCATAATCTCCGTTTTCATTTCCTGCCAGATGGTAAAGAGTAGATAAGCATAAGATTCAAAGTCATATACGATTTAGTCAATATGAATTAAAAGTATAATAAAAAGGCTAAAAAAGAAAAAAAAAAGAAAAAAAAAATAAAATAAAAAATATAAAATTTTATTTAAAAAAAAAAATATATAAAATAAAAATAAAACAAAATAAAATTAAATGAAATAAAATAAAATCAATCATAATAAAAAATAATAATTGATTAAATTAAATGAAATTAATTAAATACAATAATATAAAATTAAAATAAAATAAACTTAAATAAAATCAATAAAAATTAAAAGAAATAAATTAACTAAATAAAGCAAAAAAATGAAATATTATAAATTAAAATAAATAAAATTAAGTAAAATCAGATAAAATAAAAAAAACATTAAATAAACTAAAACAAAATAGAATGATATTAAATAAAATAAATTAAGCAAAATAAAATGAAAAAAATAATAAAGCAAAAGCTAAATAAAATAAATTAAATTAAAATGAAATAAATTTAATAAAATTACATAAAATATATAAAAATTCGAATTAATTAATATTAAATAAATTTAGTAAATAAAGTTAAATAAAATAAAATTAAATATAATATATAAAACTTAATATACTATAGAAATTTACAAAATAAAAAACCTCAAATAAACTAAAACAAAATTAAATTATATCAAATGAAATAAATTAAGTAAAATAAAATGAAAAAAATGAAAAAGGTAAAAGAAATAAATTAAAGATAAATTAAAATAAAATAAACTAAATTAAAATGAAAAACAATAAAATAAATAAATAATAAATGAAAGAAATTAAGGTGAATAAAATGAAAAAAAATCCATATGGTAAAAATAAATAAATTAAAAATAAATTAAAATAAAATGAACTTAATTAAATAAAAATTAATAAAATAAATCCTTAATAAATTGAATGAAATGATTTCAGTAAAATTAAATAAAAATTACTAAATCAAAATGAAATCAAAATAATAATTATTAAATAATTTTAGTAAATAAAAATAAATAAAAATAAATAAAATTAAATATAATAAATTAAACTACATAAAATAAAATAAAAAATTGCATAGAAAAAACTAAAATAAAATAAAATTAAATGAAATAATTTAATTTAAATATAATAAAAAATAAAATAAAATAAAATTAATTAAAATAAAAAATCCTAAAACAAAATAAAAAATTATAAAATAGATCTTAATTAAATTAAAAGAAACATATTAAGTAAAATAAAATAACGGAAATTAATATAGCCAATATTTTCACATGCTTTTTATAATACTTTGTTTTCATTAAACTCCCTTTCTTACCTTTTTCGGTGACAACGGCGCTGTTGGCGAACTAGTCGGTGTCGTGGGTACACGCTTCCAGCCACTACTTTTGCGCCATGAGTTAGCTGGACGTTGTTGCAGACGTTCCTGTAACTTCTGCGCACTCGCAGAACCACCGCGACTCACACCAAAACCAGCAGCACTTCCACCATTACCGTTACCGCCAACGACCGGACCGTTAACACTCTCGCTGCGCAGCACACGTGGCGGTCTTACGCGATTGTCATTCAAGCTTGCATCATTCAGACCATTCAGTTCGTCTTCGGTTTTGTGCATCATAGATTTTGACTTAACCATAGGTTGCATCGGTCCAACATTGGCGATAGGCCTACGTAGTTCCGTGCGTATAATCGCTTCAATACATTCTTGTTCGTTTAGCTTGTGCAATACTTCGGGTTCCAGTTGCATATCTTCAATTTCAATATCACTACTTTCGTTGCCACACAACTGTGTGTCCATCTCCTCTTCGATGCCGCCCGCGATTGTACTGCCGTTCAGTTCGTGTTGCGTTGTTGTAGAACGCGTTTGTTCGTCCGATTCGCTGGATGAGCAACTTGTTACTTGTGCACGTCCCGCTTCGCTTGGCGTCGGGCTGGGCGCTTTCAGTCTGCTGTTGCCATTCAGCGCTGTTTTGCAGCGTAGGCGTATACGTCGCTCTGATAAACTAGACGCTTCATCCTCTTCATCGTCATCTTCGTCGTCGGTTTCGCCTTCGATGTATGAGAAGAGACTGCGCGCTGAGGCGGAACGTATATCGACGAGTTTGTAAAATTCGTTAGTGAACTCGGTACGCGCTATGTCCTCATCCTCGGAGTAGACGATCTGCGCCCAATAAAAAAGCAGAAGAAAAAATACAATAAGTTGTGCAACTTTTTCAAACGATGCCGTCTCACTCACCTTCTGTTGTAACAGTTGTGATATCGCCTCCGACTCTGAATCCGTTTCCGCAGTGGTTGATGTTAGAAAATCATTCGAATTCCATATCCACTCATTTTCACCATTTTGTCTTCTCAAATTATTTAATAAAAGCCCACTGCGTAAACGTTGCTGATCATCGTCCAGTGTCACGACCGGCAACTCTTCCTGTGACATGCTCCAGTCTTCCATTTCCGTCGAACACGGTTCGGCTGGCAATAGCCATTGTTCGGGCTCTTCTGGCAAGTCTTCCAGATGCCCATTCGATGGCTGGGGTTGTCCACTACTCATCGTACAGTAACCCTCATCACGTCCCTTCGCCGGACTGGCTGAGAGTGCTGCGTTTTGTGCCTCCAAATCACGTACTCGATTCTTAAGCATAGTCACCTCTTCACGGAGTATATCTTCTGCGACAATCGCATCCACTACTTTACGCATTACATCGTCCAGACAGCGTTCGTAATGACGTATACTGCGCTTGAGTGTGTAATTCTCTTGTTGCATGGAACGCAGGAGGGTCTCTTGGTGGGTAATGCGGGTCTGAAAGTAAACAGAAAAATAAAAATATTAAAATAGCTGGAGAGTGAAGCAGAGGACTGGGCGTAGATACCTAAACATCGTATTATGTCTCATCAGAAGAAGGTAGTGCAGGCGACCTATCTTTACGCCACTCTTACTGAAGACAATCGAGATCAGTCTTCTTCTCGAGGTCTAACACCGCCTGACAGCTTTAGATAGCATTCCCAAATACGTAAAGAAAAATAAGAAAGCTATGGCTACATTCTACGGTTCCATTGGTTAGAGATTTTGACTGAAACCATATAAGAGTATGTAGGTTCTAGGGCCTGGTGAACGATACACGACAAAATTAACTTCTTGAGTAAGTTGGATAAAGTTGAACTTATGGTCTTTCTAGAGTCGGTTACTGTAGTTGCACATAGCTTCGTCAGATATAGGCGAGGTACTGCTCCTATTTTAAGTATCAGGTAGCGACGACAAACTACTAGAGGTGGGTCGGTTCCCATTCCATTTCTGAAAGGTCGTGAGGAGGTGCTACTCCACGCTTTTGTGAACCCTAGCAAAAATTGAAATTTCGCACCCTCTACTGAGAAGTCAGCAGCGATGGCCTACTTCTTTGCCTTAAAGCTTCTACGAAGACGGACGATTGTAAAACAATCTAAAAGAAATACCATAATGCTTTAGTTTTTATGATAAGCCCGACATTCGGCGAGCTAAACGCGACAATAATATGGGAACCTCACGTTAAGTCATACAAATATTCTTCTGTTGGGCCTGCTTGGTTAGTCTGAAACATGTTTCAAGCACATTAAGGCAAAAAGTATTTCTGAAAAATTTCCAGGAACGAACTGTTTAGATGGTCATATGACCGATTGCTCCAAACATGTCAGTCGGCTGAATTGGACACACTCTGGCGGTCATGTTGGGAGTTTTTCAGTGGGGCTAAGACACTATCCAAAGAATGGCGTAAGCCACATCTGGACTACTTCTGGAATGGGAGCTATAGAAATATTTACTTAGATACTCACTTCCCTGGCCAGCTCCAATGAATGCAGTTTATTTTTCAAGGGCTATCGATTTACCTGTCACGGTCGAAATCAGTGAAATAATCATCTGGGTCGGTCGGTATTATCCCTGTGTAGTTAAAAAACAGCTTAGACTCCACAAGATGGTTTAAAACTACACATGTGGTTTGCTTGAATTTTAACCACACAACAAAGGCATGGAGGTGGAACGAAATTACAATCGGTTAATCCCCACCAAAATAGGATAAGAAGAGATAACTAGATACATACAGTGCAGACATGTCCAAAGTAATAGGAATCCTGGCTGTTCACTATCTGATAGGGCGACATGAATCTAGGGACTCGCTACTGCAGAAACTACAAGGCTGTCGAGAAGGACGACAGAACGAGCACCAGTCTCAGTCTTGCTGAATAGCCAGCCGAAGAAACCCGACGTGAAAGTCAGGGATCTAATGAGGTTCATTAGAGAACTGAAATAATTGGATAACGAAGCCTAATGTTTCATCACAATGGCTCTTAGACAGGCCTAAGAGTAATCGATATATCGAAAAGATATGAAAGATGACAAGCACTGTTAGTTGCGCTATAAAGAAGCAGGGAAATCCTATTACTTCAAATGGAGTTTCAAAATGCTTTAAATTCAATATTAAATTTTGTTTGATTTAACTATTTAAGCCTACAGGTCTACATATGTACATACATACATACATGTAGTTGACAGACTGTCTATATTGAAGTGCAGAAACCTTTCATGAAGGTCATTGAACTCTGACACGTCGGTTGTTGAGCCGAAATTCTGATTTGAAATTTAAAGATTAGGCGCTAACAAATATTTACTTATGTACATAAGTACACGTACATATGTATATCTATACATATGTGCAGCATAAATGTTTCGAACACATATTAATTAAATAATGTTTATATATATTCGGCTACTTATACATATGTACATAATTAAATGCTAAACAAACATTGACCATGCAAACATTACAGTTGAATTGTGTATTGTTGTTAATTTACCTGCAGCGTTTTGTGCCCTGGACATGTTGGTTTTTGTTTGCGCTCCTTCGACTTTATCACACGATTCATGCTGTAAGAAGAAGATAAGTAATTAGAGAGACTGAAAAAAAATTATTAAAATAAATAACACAACATATATATACATATAAATATGTATGTTGCAACATTTGTGGCAAGTGCTAACCGTCACTTAAATTACTTATTAAGGGGCACGCCTAGTGTAAAATTTCAAAAGATTACACCTTTAAAAATAACATATTAAACTTTCAAATCGATATCTCAAATAGTTTTTGAGTTCTAGCAATTTAAAGAGCAGCCGCTCGGCAGCTAGAGAGCCTCATTAGCTACGAGTGAAAACGATCATTTTATCTATAAGCGCATTTTTCTCGAAAAAGCATTTTCCGAAATTGCTACAGTGATTTCTCAAAAACAGATCCGATCACTATCGTTTTTTTTACATGTTCTATATATTGTTTTCCGTACAATGACCTATCGATTTTTGATCTGATCAAAAAATCGAATTTTGGCAGGTCAAAAACGACCAAAATTTTGGGTAAAATTCGACTGTTTTTTTTTAAACGCCGCCATATTGTCAATTTTTGATTTTTTTTTATCGTAGGTCATTGTACAGACAATATCTAGTTTAACGAGAATTTTTTTTGATTTCATCCACGGAGAAGGCCGGTATCACTGCAGCAGTGAAGGACCTTTTTTCGCGCCGTTGGAGATCGACTAAACTTAAAAAATATTTAATTTTTTTCTTCAAAAATTTCCCTGTATATTCTTGAAACATGTATAAATATAATCTTAAAATTTTGAAATAATTGATAAAGTATTTTTTTTTAATAAAAATTTCTAAAAATAACCATTTTTTAGGCTATTACACTAAGTGTGCCCCTTAACACGATTCTTCAAAATTTTTCTAATGATTCCTAACTCCAGAAATGAAAATTCACTCAATCATGCGGAAACTAAAATTCTTTTATTCCAAGCTTTTTAAGAAAAATATGTGCTTTATATAAAACGCAAACAACTTTTTAAAATTACATATTTAAAAAATAAAAATTTGCTTCATAAAAACTGAAATTATTACAAAGAAAAAAATATAAAAACTTTAAGTAAAATTAAATGAAACAAGATAGAACAAAATAATTTAAAAATATAAAATAACATAAATATAATATATAAATGAATAAATAAAATAAAGAAAAATTTAAAAAAACTAAAATCAAATTAAAAAAATAAAAAATATTTTATCAACAAAATATTAATATATAAAAAAATAAATTAATTAATTTTAAATAAAAAATTGAAACAAAATAAAATAAAATAATGAAAATCAAAAACATAATAAACTAAATATAATGCTCGTATAACATTTAAAAAAAAATTAATAAATTATAAATAAGAAATTCAATTAAATTAAAAATAAACAAGAAAGAAGTAAAAAATAAAATATTTTAATAAAATGATATATAATAAAATAAAAAAAAAAAATAATTTAATCTAAAATAAAAAAGAAAGAAAATAAATTAAAATAATATAAATAAATAAAATAAAAAATAGTATAAACTAAGTATATTAATACTCGTATAACACATTAAAAAAAATAAATGATTTAAAAATAAATAAAATAAAAGATTAAAAAAAAAACAAAAATTAATTAAAAAAGTAAAAAATATTATATCAATATAATATTAATATATAAAAAAAATAAATTAATTAATTTTAAGTAAAAAATTTAAGCAAAATAGAATAAAATAATGAAAATAAAAACATAATAAATTAATAATCAGAAATTCGATTAAATTAAAAATAAACAAGAAAACGGTAAAATGAAATATATTAAAATAATATGAAATATAATAAAATAAAAAAAATTAATTTAAAATAAAAATGAGAAGCAAAATAAAATAAAAAAATCTAAATAAAAGCAAAAATATAAAATAAACTAAAATAATGTAACATATTAAGAAATAAATATAAAAAAATTAAAAAAAAATTAGACAAAAGGAGAATATGATATGTATAATAATAATATGAAATATAATAAGAAAAAGAAAATTAAAATAAATTAAAATAAAACAAAAAAATATAAAAACAGACGGATAAATAAAATAAAATAATAAAAACATAACAAAAGAGAATAACAGAAAATGAATAAAAAAAATTAAAAATAAACTGGGAAAAAGTTGAAAATAATACAATATATTAAAGTAATATAAAATGTAATAAAAAAAATTAAAAATAAAATAAAATAATCTAAATAAAAGCAAAAATATAAAATACGCTAAAATAATGTAACATATTAAAAAAAAAAAATTAAAAAAGATTAGATTAAAGGAGAATATGATATATTAAAATAATATGATATATAATAAGAAAATGAAATAAATTAAAATAAAACAAAAAAAATAGACGGATAAAATAACATAATTAATGAAAAAAATTAAAAGTTAACTATGAAAAAGTAAAAATTAATATAATATATTAAAGTAATATAAAATATAATAAAATGAAAAATTTAATTTAAAATAAAAAAGTGAAACAAAATATAATAAAATATAATATAAATAATATAGAACAATGCAAATAATAATTTAACCTAAAATCAAATAAAATAATAAAAAAAGAAAATAAAAATAAAACGGACTTATATGAACTAACTAAAAAGATATAATAAAAATATAACAAAATAGAATAAAACAATATAAATAAATAATATAAAACAAATAATCTAATATTAGTTAGGTGGTGCAATGCGAGCTGCATGCCCCGAAATTTAAATAAGTGCAAATATTTGTGTTTCTCCAGAAAATCTTTCCAATCCTTTGCCTATATGATACTGACTCCATCGATTTAGGTGTCACAATGGATCCTAAGTTAGATTCTAGAAATCATATAAATGGTTGTGCTTCTAAGGCAAAAGGCGTTTTAGCTTTCATTTAACGTTGGGCCAAGGAGTTCAAGGACCCATACATTACCAAATTACTCTTTACCTCACTTGTTAGACCCATTTTGGTATATGGCTCAGTTGTATGGAGTGCGGACTATCAATTGTATAGTGTGATAAATTGGAATCTGAGAACAAGAACCTGCCTTCTTCCAAAAGTCGTTTACGGCTCATTAATCTGTCTACACTCCATAGTCGTAGAGTGATGCTTGGGGGTTTGTTTTTAACTAATCTTCTCATAGAATTCTCGAGCATTACCCTTGTCGGCCAGCATCTCGAGCTCTTCATAGTCACACCAAAATGAAGCGAGATGATCAGGGTCCATAGTGATATTCAGTTTAGTAAAACGGTGAACCTTTTGCAAATTATAGTTATCTACATGTATATTGGCGATACCAATAGCTCAGTGGTTAGCATTGTGTGCTAAAATTCTTACGATCAGGGTTCGAGTCCTATCAGAAATCCACATTTGGAGGTGTTGATATTCCCTGCCGAGGGGCGACCGCAATTAAAAAATTTATTATTATTTTTCTTAATTAATTTTCTATAAATTTTTGATATTGGTCGTACCGGGATTTGAATTCGGTTCTACCGAATGGCAGCACGCAATGCTACAATATAAATTATTTCATTATCCCCGGCGCAGGCTTAAATAAGACAGTGAGAATAAATTAAATTTAGAATTTTCCATTTTTGTGCTTATAAATCCTCTAAAAAATACTGTTATTTAAACAACTCAATATGCATTTTGATGCTTGAAAACTGAATTTAATTTTCTGCCAGAGGAAGCACATTAAAAATGGTTGAAAACTTTTACGCCGCAGAACGCCCATTAAATTAACGAAATTATAAGTTGCCAAACCCAGAGTTTTACCACTGGTGTTTACACATACACACAAATATTGATCCATACACATACGTATGTACATATGTACATATGTGATTATTTACCTTGTAAAAGACGTAAATAATAAACCACATAAAACAGTAGCAAAACTCCCATCGAACCCCAGAGAGATAGAGCTGATAATTTGGTTTGTTGGCATAAGTTTACCGGCGTATATACAAACAAACAAACATATATGTACATAATATGTAAATATGTAGAAACATTTCAAAATTGCCCAAAGGAGTATAGTTTGGGAGCTGCAGTAATGTGTGTGTAGATATTCGTATGTGCGCAGGGATATGACTAAATGTAAATATGTATGCATGTATGTGTGCCAGTCATGTGTGTTTTAGGCACATTACCGGCTTCAGCACAGTTAGTAAGTTTTTTCGGGTGATTTCCGAATTTTCGTGCTCCCAACGGTGGGTGCACTCACACAAACCTATATACATATGTATGTATATCTGTTGTTACGGAAAACCACCGTAAATAACTATGAATGTATGCCATGAGGCACATGTATGATGAATTTTCTCATGTAATTACGTTGTAGTTATGACTTTATAGAGCGGTTGGTTGCCAAAGCTATACATACATACGTACGTTAAGCCAAATTTTTTGGACCAACCCTTAAGGGCACTTCTCTCGCTTGATAAGTGTTAAATTTACTTAAGTAGCGGTAGCAGCAACAACAGGTCAAATAAAGGGTGTTGTTTTAGACGTGTAGTTTTTAATGAGGATTTACTTTTTTCGACCGCTCGAAGAAGAGTCTCACTTCGGAACAACGTTGCAAATCGTACAAATTCATTACCAAAATATTAGTTCATTGTGCGGAGGAGTTGCTTGTCTGAGACGCCGTACACAGTGCGCACCGAAGACGCAAATGCCGTTGTGGAGCGGAGTAACGAAGCAGACCCGAATGAGTCCATCCGCCTTCACGGGCAACAACTCGAGCTGTGCTCATCCACCTTGTGAAAATTTTTGCGGAAGAATCTTGATTTGCGGGCTTACAAAATTCAGTTCGTGCAAATATTGCAGCCGAACTACTATCAAGCGCATCCCGCGTACGGTGAATGGACCCAAAACGAGATGGAACCGATTTTCACAAGAAAATTTGGTTCAATGATGAAGCTCACTAGTGGTTGAACGGGCTAGGTCGGCGTTCAGTGTGCTCTATGGGCAAAATCAATGTGGAAAGTTATGGAGCCATAATTATCGTGCCTGAATTGGAGGATGTTGATGTGGAAGAATTTTGAATCCAACAAGATGACACTGCATGACATGCAACGAACGAAACAATCGATTTATTGAGGGAAACTTTTTGAGTTGTTGTAGCGGTTCACTAGCCCCGCTTAGGAGCAGTAAAGAGGAGTCCAGGTCGACGCGCTTGTACCAAATGGTGAGAGGGGTTAGAGATTTTTTTTAAGGGGCATACAAACAGGTGGTTAGTGTCGTGAGGGGGCGCATAGCACGCAGGCCATACGTTGCATATGTTGGGGTTAAGTCGGATAGATGGGAACAACTACAGTATCGAGATGTTATTTGTATTAGTATTACGAGGGACTCTTGAGCTCTGCAGCTATATTGGGTGGTGGTTTGACTCTTAGTATACCATTCTCTGGAAGAAACTTCAGGAAGGTGTTGACGGACTCTCGGTGAAGGGCGTTTAATGCCTGTCGGCTAGCCATGTTGTTGTTGTTATTGTAGCGGTTCGCTAACCCCGCTTAAGCACAAGTTTGTTCAGTCTAAGTCGCCGAGGTCATCTAGTGGTTGGCCCAGGAAACGAGCTGTTTCGACGGGGTTGGACCAAAAGGAGAGGGGGATTAGATGAGTGGGCTTGAGGGGGCATGTGAAGAGGTGGTTAGTGTCGTGCGGGGACTCTCCACATGCAGGGCAAACGTTAGGTATGCTGGGGTCTAGTCTGGATAGGTAGGAGTTTAACCTGCTACAATATCCAGACCTGAGTTGTGTCAGGGTCACGCGGGTCTCTCGAGGCAGCTCGAGCTCGTTGTCTGCTATGGGTGGTGGTATTTCTCCGAGTACGCCATTCACTGGAAGGGAGTCCATGAAGGTGTTGACTGGTGTTGACTGACTGAATGGCGTTCAGTGCTTGTCGGTACGCCGTCCTGTCCAGTGGTTGTTGCTTGTGTCGGCAAGCCATCCTGCTCAGCGGTTCTTGTATGTGATGTTGATAGTTGTAGATGCTTCGCTGTGCAAGTGATGCTCTGGCGACATCAGAAGGTTTCCTGTCACGGTCCTTTTCTGCGCCTCGCCGCCCATAATAGAACAACATAGTTTACGATCGGTCAGCCAATTGTCTTGTATGTTGATTTCTTTGTATTTTCCTCAGATACTGTCGGTTAATGCTATGAGGAATTTTGTGGCAGTTACAGAAAGGTTGTCGAGATAGCAGTTCATGTGCCGTGGGCCTGTAGTGTGGCTGGAATATGTTTTTTCGGGATTATATGAAGTCGCATGTCTACGTGCATAAGCCTGAGACAAATGGCGTCTTTTTTAGAGAATATTCATAATGTAATTGTTGATAAAAAAATGATGGAATACTGGGCCTATCGGCTGGAATTTATTCGATCCAGCCGGGGGGTCACTAAATGGAAAACCCTTATCTTTATAATAAATCTAATTTCTTGGTCATGGCATTAAATTTTATGAGGTTTTCTTTTTATTGAAACCCAAATGTCTACAAACGAGCACCCTTTATAATCCTTAGGTCGGAAGTAGTTCTAGAAACTTTACAATTTGCTGTAGTTAGACGAAATCGAATTATCTTGTTGTATGTACATAAATATGTGTATACTAAGCAGTCCTAGGTCAATCAGCAAGGCAATTTAGATATTTCAAATTTTTGAGAATTTCGTGGGCAAAAAATAAAATTTTTTGTTCTTTGTTCTTTAGCAAAAGGTTTGGCCTCACAATTCAGACGGTTTCTCAAAGTGGCAATTTTCGTTATAAAGTTTGCTGCGAAATGTGCGTAATTGCAATGGCGTTGAGTAAATTGTAGGATCTAAAAATATTTGATAATTTGCTCTTGAATTATTGTATAAAGTAGATAGGTAAGGTTGGAAGTGGCCATGGCAGGAAGTGCCCAATTTCACTTCACTGCCGAAAAGGTTTACAATTTTAGTATCGTAAAATATGAGACATACAAACTACAACAAACTAAGAATGGCGGACCGTTTTTGGAATAAGCAATTTGACAAATTTTTCTTACTTAATTTTGTTTTTGGTTTTCGTTTCTATACTTGCATTCGATATCACATCCAACCTTTGTTAACAGGGAATAAAAACTTTTGCAATTCCGAAGGATCGTTATACACTATGAGGATATCCCTTACGATGGTGCGTCTAATGAAGTAAAGACGCGAAGAGACGTAGACAATGTAGCTCAGGAGACGGACACGGAACAGGCAACTTCCGGATGGTGCCAGAGCATCACTTGCACAGCGAAGCATCTATGTTACGTGTTAAGAAGCACAATGTTTTGCAATATCTGAAGCATAGCTACCGCAGCGAGCACTCCAACTGTCACTTACTAGTTACTGAACCAATACCTAGACACATCATGAAGACAGTACTCGGCTTTAAGGACTTCATTCAGCATCACTTACAGGAACCGCTGAGCAGGATTTCTTACCGACGCCAATCACCGAGAGTCCGTCAACACCTTCGTGACCTCTCTTCAGTGAATGGCAACCTCGGCTTCTACAGTTTGTTCTGTGCCGCTTCTGGATTTTTATGAGAAGATTTTATTTCATGTCCGGAATACACTCCGAGGACTTAATATTCTCTGCTGAGCGGCGATCGCAGTTATTTATAATTTTATATGTTGGTCGAACTAGGACCCCTTGCCATCAGAATGGCAGTACGCTGTGCTAACCACTCGGCTATTGCGGGCGGCCGTAGTTAGTCTGTTGAGAGAAATTAATTGCAGAACTGAAATTGGAGTAAGATAATGCTAGATATTTTGCATTAGACTCTTTCGAAATTAGGATATAACCATCTTCAAGAGCCAGTTGAAACTAGCAGGTGGTAGTGGTAAGCAGTTCGTACTGCCACGCAGTAGGTCATGAATTCCTACCCTGGCCAGATCAATATACAAATTTTCGAAAATTAGTTAAAAAAAAAAATAGTTTTTATGATAAGATATTTGCCAATCGGAGACGGCTTGAAAAAAACTGTAAGTTCCTTCGTTTAATGGAAAATATTAAAACGCACACCCCTCAAATTGTGGGTAGAGCTCGGCGGGTCATTGCTTTCGTGATTCACTGGTTTTCGGCTAGTTGTATTCTTTGTTTAATCTTCTGACGCTGGGTTTATCGTCAAAACAGAAAAATACGAACCTTACGGTTTATGTACTGAGCTTGAGTAGGATTGGAAAAAGGTATTCTGCGGATGTCGGGTTGAGGAGAGCTATCGTCCGAAACAGAGTGGTTTTTGTTCCGAACGGCGCAGACGTGATCGGCGAATGATTGGAAATGATTCAACTGAAGGCTAAGATGCTCGGAGTTCGGAGAAGAGTTTGATGCTTAAAAAGGGTAGGTCGAGCGTAAGGGTGCTACTTGTGCCGACCCGGTCACATACTCGTTTGTGGAATAATAGGAAGCGCAATGCAAGGTACAGCTGAGTCGTAGAAACTAGAAAATTTGTCAATTTGTATAATTCGACGGCACAAGAGGGGTAACGACGCTTTCCACATTTTTAGGAGAACTTTAGACAGAAAAGTTAGCACCACCGGTGACGGCGGATCAGATAGGGTATGATAGGTTATAGTGACTGGCAATACTAAACACAAAAAATCTACGTAACCCGTGTCTGGCACTAAAGATATGGGTTGGTACTGCGTTTAAAGAAGTGTCTAGCTAATCCTTCCTACTCTTCTTTTGATTTTGAACTTGAGAACTCTATTCTACAATTAAAACTTGGAACTGAAACTAGTTTCTGAACTCGACGTTTTAGTTTATGCTCAACAAAAACCATTTTTTGTTATTATTTCTTTTTTTTAATTATAATCAAATAAAGTATGAGCCTCGGCCGTAATCTCCTTCAAAAATATATCTAAATATTTAATTAAATCAAAATAAATCTTCTTTGGCCCTTTTGATATTTTTCAAACAGATGAAAGTTCTTCTCGAACATTATTTTATACGAGTTGTTTAACTTTTTTATTTTATAGTTTATACCATGTTTTTAGTTTTATTAATTTATCAATTGAAAAACAATTAATAAAATGAAAGATGTGGTAATTTAAAAAAAAGATAATTATTTCCAAAAACGAAATAAAGCAGAAGAATTACAGTAAAACAAAAATTTATATTCCTTAGTATATTTTATTTTTTCTCGAAAATCTGAAAATTAAAAATAAGAAATGTGACTTCTCAGAAGAATGTCGCAGCTGAAGCTTGAGTAAGTTTGGTTGCTTACATTGTTTTTATCGCAAATGGAAAATGTAAGCTAAATTTAATCACTTCTGCAGTTGTTGTGTCATGTCTTTTAATAGGAAATTAAATAATCAGTAATAAAATATTGTAAGAAAAGAAAAAAGAAATTGATCTCATATGTATGTATATAATCATATATTCATACTTACATATTTAGTAAGTATGTCTGTATATACATGTAAATGCGTAAATATGCATTCTAACTACATATTCACATACATTTTTATGAATATATGTATTTTTTATGTGTTAAAATAATAATAAAATATGTATTGCACTTACTTATCCAATTGCTCGCGTAGTTCCTTCTCGAACGTTGGCGACACACAATGACTCTGTAATGAGAGAAAAACAAAATAAAAAGATTTAATATGAATTTAAAATGTAATTATGGAAAAGTTGAGAATGTCACATAATCCAAAAATCAAAAATAATCATAAAATGCAACACTTTGATTGAGGGGCAATAAAAATATATAATTATTCACAGTTTTAAAAGCAAGTTCATGTACAATTGCTTGTAGGCATGTACATATGTAGATACGAATATTCAAAAAACCACAACACAGTCTTTAAATGCATATAAGAATATTATAATGCATTTCATTATTAACTAAGCGTAGTTATGTATGTATGTAATGTGCATACTTCAGAATCGTAAAAAAATCGAAGAAAATATAAATTTCATTGGCATTTATGAGCTTTAAAAATTAATGAAATTCAAATTAAAGTGTGATTTCTGAAAATTTTCAATAATAAATGATTAAGAAATTTATGACTGGAAATATTTTTTTAAAAACTCAAGCTATAAAGAAAGAAAAAAATTTAATATTCAATTGAATTAAAACTAAATAAAAATGAAATAAAAAAATTACATGAAAAACTAAAATTAAAGAAAATAACAATATAAAAAAATTAAATTAAATTAAATAACATAAAATAAAAATAAAAATAAAAATAAAAAATAAAATAAAATAAAATAAAATAAAATAAAATAAAATAAAATAAAATAAGAAAATAAAGATTAATTTAATAAAACAATATAAAATGACATAAAAAAAGAATAAACAATTTTTAATTAAAATAAAAAGGATACAATAAACAAAAATTAAATAAAAGTAAAATAAAATCAAACAAAATAAGATAAAATGAAAAGAAAAAAAGAAAATAAACATAATAGAATGAAATAAAATAAATTATAATAAAAAAAATAAAATAAAATAAAACTGGCGGAGCATAAAAACATCAGTTTCATATTTATAAAATTTTTTAAACAAAAATTGAAAAGAGTAGAAAAGAATAAAGAATAAGATTAATAATTAAATAACAAATATCACATTTTATAATCATTTCGAATTAAACAACTGCTGTTGTTGCCAAAAATATAAACAGATAAATTTATTTGTTGAGAGCGAGCTTTTGTGCTTTTGTTGACCATGTTTAGCGGTATTTACCATGAAATATTGAAATGACGAAATGCGAAAGAGATTAATTTGTGACTAACACGAATGTGATTTTTCTTTCCACTTTTTTCAAATTACTAGTTCAACACAGTAGGCTATGGTGGGGGAATAACTACAAGTTTATATAGTTCATATTACAAAAAAAAAAATATGTATATAAATTCGTATTACCAGCTGTTATGGCCTATCAACACCTCATTTAGAGAAAATTGATATAAAAAACAAATAAAGCAGGCTGTATGTGGCTAAGCCGAAGATTTTCTGCTACCTTTACTATACAGAGGTTAATTTATTGAAAAATTATAGTTTTATTTACTTTTAATATTTAAAAGGTTTCAAAATTATTTCTTTCATATTTTTTATTATTTTTTAATTAAAAAAAATTCGACCAGTTCGACAATAGTCCAAAATATTAACTTTGAGGTACTGATCCTATGTGAATTCGACAAGAAATCGTTTTTGTTGCTACGTTTTTTTGGTATTTATATAATAAATATAAAATTAATAAAAACACTTGTTTCAACCACAGAATAAATATGCTGATAAATGTTTCTAAAAAAAATTATTTATTTATGATATATTAATATATAATATAAATTCCATATATACTGGTACGAATATGTTAATGTTGACTTTGCTATAAGTCTCCTACAATAAACAAAGCGGTAATCGAAAAATTTTCATCATTTCGGTTGAAATATTTAATAAAATAAATTTCTCTTTGTTTTTAGCCGAAACGTTGAGTTCCTTGGGTATCTCTGATATATATGTACATAACTTTTATCGTGAAAATTAAATGAAGTCTAAATTTAAATTAGATTAATTTAGTTTTGTTAATATTATTTTGTTTATTTTTTACTTTATTTTATTTGTCTTATTTTTATATTTTCATTTTAGTCGTTTTGCTTTATTTTATTTATTTAATTCAATCTTTTTTTTAATTTTAATTATTAATTTTATTATTTTATATGATTCTATTTTTAATTTCACTTTGTTCAACTTTATTTCTTTTCATTTTATTTTTTTTTCAGAAATATTATCAAATTTAGTGTTTTATTGTATTGTAGATAAGTTTTTTCTTTTACTTAATTTTCAATTAGTTAATTTTAATTCTTCGTTCATATATTTATTTATTTTATATTATTCAATATTTTTTTGTGATTCTTATATTTTTATGTTGTTTTATTTTATCTCACCCTTTTTATTTTTTATATCTTTAGCACATCTGATTTTTTTTATTAAATTTTAATTTTTTTATATATTGATTTGCCCAAAAAGTAATTGCGGATTTTTCATATAGTCGGCGTTGACAAATTTTTTCAACGGCTTGTGACTCTGTAATTGCATTCTTTCTTCTGTCAGTTATCAGATAAAGGCCAGAAGTTCTATGAGCGTGGAATACTAAATTTGCAAGGAAGATGGCAAAAGGTTATCGAACAAAATGGCAATTATATATTTGATTAAAGTTCATTCTAAGTTATATTAAAAATGCATTTACTTTATTTTAAAAAATCCGCAATTACTTTTTGGGCAACCCAATAGTTTTTTATTTTACTTTAAGTTTCTTCCATTTTATTTTATTTTATTTTATTTTAATTTAATTTAATTTAATTTGTTCATTTAAATCTACTTTATTTTATTTTATTGAATTGTTTTTCCACATCATTTTATTTTATTTCATTTTATTTATTTCATTTTGTTACGTTTTATTAAATTAATTTTTTTATTGTATTTTTTTTTAACTTTTTCTTTTAGTTATTTTTCATTCAATTCATTTTTATTCTTCGATCATTTATTTATTTATTTTGTAAATTTTTTTGTTGTTTTTTATTTTTTCTCTTATTTTGTATATCTAATGCTTTTTTTAATTTTATTTTATAATTTTTTATTTTCTTTTCATGGTTCCATTTATTTTATTTTATTTTAATATTATTTTTTTTTGTTTTTTTCTCATAATTTATTTTAATTTTATTTTTTATTTTATTTTATTCATGCTTTTTTCATTTTACTTTATTTTATTTTTATTTTGTTTATTTTATTTTAATTTATTTGATTGTATTTTTTCATTTAAAATTTATTTTATAATATTTTATTCTATTTCATTTTATTTTATAATATTTTCATTTTAGTTTATTTTATTTTTTAATTCTTTTATTTTTATTTTGTTCATTTAATTATATTATGCTTTATTTTAATATATCAAATTTAATTTTTTGATTTTAAATATATTTTTTAAGTTTTTATTTCTCTTTGATTTAAATTGTTTTATTTATTAATTATTTTTTAATTAATTTTATCTCAATTGATTTTCTTTTATTTAATTAAATATAATTTTTTTCAATATAAATCGCTCGAGGGTAAATACAATTCGTAGAAATATACATAGGTGAAGCTCAAAACTAATGTATTTAAGGATATAATCCGCTGCGTATATATAAATGTATGTGTCTATGTGTGCATGTGTATTGATATTGCATATAAATTTATAAATAGTTCTTATATCAGTGGACTCAGATACATGCATAATATGCACACATACATATATATTTTTAGACATATTTAATCAATTTAAGCTTTCCAGTGGCTGAATGAGTGGCGTTGTATCATTAATATGTATTTATGCGTGCATGTAAATGAGTAAGAGTGCGTAATCAAGCGGAAGTCGTAAGTAAGTACAATAAAAGGAAATTTATACAGAACTGTACGGGCTTTTGATTATAAACGCCCTACACATGTGTATGTATAACACGACAGACGACAACTGATGGACAATGAAAATTAATAAGAATTATAAGTATACAACAACAACAATTAATCGCACAAGTGGCAGCCATGGAAAGTCATCAAAAATCGACGATATAAAATTCCTGCACGATTCTCTAGACTGACTGCCGTCGTTGAGGGCAAAGCGTGTTGTTTTTTTTGCTTTTTCTTTGCTTCCGACTTACATAAATGTTTTTCTTCATTTCTGCACATATTATTTTATCGCTTTGTTATTCTTAATGTATTAGTTGTTGTTCTTGTATTTACTTTGTTGCCACTACCGCTGAGGCTCTTATTCTCGCAAGAATTTATTTGTTATTTTTTTTTTGCTTGCTTGGTGGTGGTGGTGGTGGTGTGGATGGCGCCACTGCTCGTTGGTAGGGGCAGCATTGGTGGCGCCGCAGCTGGGGTGTGGGCGCATTCACGGCTGCTGCTGTTTGAGATTAAACAAGACAGTAGCTAAGCAAATGACATGTTTGCTTGACATGACATGACAGCCGAGTCGGCAAGCCGCAAAGAAGGTTGGAGGTCGCTTTGGCTACTTAGTTGAAATTTTAATTTTATTTCTCTTTTTTGTTGCGTCACAGCTGTTGTGCTGTTGTTACTGCTTCTTTTGTATTTTATTTTATAGAAAACACCAGTGTAATGTGTATTTTGCTTAGAATAAATCAATAAATTAATACATATTTTAGGAAGAAAAAAATTCTAAAAAAGTAAGGTTTCACTGCCACGATTACTAAATTCTGGAATTCTAAGATGGTTCTTATATGAATTGTTTCTTTTATAAAAATGTATAAACTACTTTGTAAAAATATATGAAAAAGAAAGAAGAGTTTTCCACGTATTGTTTACTCCACGACCTATCTTTGTTTCAGAGATCAAGCAAATCGAACTATGAATACGTTTTTTCTGAACAGATCTCCCCATTTTGACCTTGGTAAAGAGACACCTACTATATGCTCCTCATATTAAGCAAATCCAAGTCATCAAAGAGTTATCTGTGTACCAAATTTAATTTCAACGATGAGAATTTTGAGTGACCTGTAGGGATTTGGTTTTGGTTCGTTGAATCTTTTTATTTGTAAATTACCTACTCTGCCCTGCCGTATA